CTACAGATCTTTCCAGTGGTCACCACATGTTCCATTTTCCCTCTTCTCATAACATGGCCCAAAAATTACTGTCTCCTTCTGATGTCTGTGATTAGTTGTCTTCGGGCTCCAGCCTCTTTCAGAACCTCTTGTATTTTAAGCATTATTCTGTAAAACCACATCTCTGTGGCCTCAAGAAATTGTTTGGCCTGCTTACCGATTGTCCAGGACTCACAACGCATTGCCTTTAAATATAAATGCTTACTTGACGAGGCTAACAGTTACAATTGTACAGACCACATATTCCACTTTAAAATGTCAGCCAAAATGTAATCACAACCTTACTTATCCACTGCACCTTCACGAATACAGATGGAGGATTGGTCGCAACTCGAGATAAATACAAAGACAATTTTTAGCAGGCTGCGGTTGGCATTTTATGCAGTATGATACACTTTGAGTGTGGAACAAGGAAAAAAAACTTTTTGACAGTGGCGAGGAAAGACAGTTAAAATTTTAACTTTTTAAAAGTATCTTTATGTCTTCTTTAATAATGTCACACTTTATAGCTGACTTTTCGTTGCTGCACCCCTGGCATACGCACCCAGTTTGAGAACCTCTGCTGTAATGCCTCGGTCGAGTCAGCAGGAAATGACTTTGCCAGCTGCTGTACTACGCAACCTGGTCGCAGTTTCGCCAGCTTCGACAGACTTAGGCAACAGCAACTATTGTGTTAATGAGAGAGCTATTTCTGTCCATCATAGTGTATGTAGAAACGGGTGTAAGGTAACCACTATTCGTATTCGGCCCGACCGCAAGTATTCGGCCAAATACCAAATAGTTATTAGGTCCACTATTCGGAGCTGAAGCAAATATTTGATATAGCCCTAATATATATAGAAAACACATATATAACACACATATATATATATAATAAACAAACAAGTATACATTGGAACTTCTAGAAAGTAGTAGAACAACATAAAAATTGAAAGCCATAATTACCGTGCCAAGAATCGAAACTGTCATTTCCAAATGGCGGGTGTGCCTCACTATAGAAACAAGTGTACTAAGAAGATGACTAACGAGGCACCCCTAAATAAGGTGTCTTCATTCACCATTTCCATCGACCAGCTTGAAATCCACAACTGTGTAATAGTCCCTCCTTCCTGGAACCATGCTGTCTGCTATAATTTTTTCCAATCCATTGTGGCACTGGATATGACCAAAATATTTCAGCTTCTGAGACAGGATGCTGTTTATTAGCTTATCTTCCTTGATGTTTAGATCTTTCAAGATGTCAGTATTTCTCCTCTTTTAATACAAACAGTTAAATGCACGAGATCAATTCTCGTCCAGGTTGGTTTAAAGCCACATGTTTAAAGCTGAGAAGATGAATGTCCCTACAACAGGTTTAATCCTAGACTCAGTCTCTCAATGAAAGGCGTTTTTAAAAGGGAAATTCAGCACTCACTCTCTGCAGGGAAGCTAGCTGCCTGCCAATGACACTATAGAGCACTTAATCCATGGGTGAACTAATTGCAATGACTTTCTGCAGAGTTATTCCAGGGAAACAAGAATAGACACACTGCTTCCATAAAAAACATGTCATAAGAGTGAACTAACTAGGATCTTCCTTCAAAGTTGGGGTACAACTGCCTGAGAGGCAGAGAGCAAACTGCATAGAAATAAGTCAGATCGGGCCCGCAGGTCACCAGTTAAATAGCCTTAGGGATTCAGCCCTTGGATTTTTATTAAAAACCAACTAAGAATTACAATTTATTCTGCTTTTCTTCCCCTAGTTTCTTAGGGTAGCGTTTCAGATTTTCAACAATGTGTTTCTTTTTACAAAATTATGAGAAATGTCAATCTTTTTAAGATTCTTACAGAGGAAACAGTTCAGCCACAGATGCCAATCATGAAGAAAAGGAGAACCCAGTGCCTGAGATAAGGAACTGAAGGTTTTGCACCTAGAGGGTTCCTGCTCAGAGTGTCCATCAATCTACAGCGAAATATAACAGATGAGAGGCTATTATTAACATTGTTGTGGCACCTGTCTTTCCAGATGATAGTGTTATATTGTGCTATAATGACGCATGGGACTCACAGCTCAAGGCGATGGCAAGTGCGACTAGCAAAACCTGCCCGCATTGAGAAAAGACATCCACAATTATAGCATGGGATTTCAGGACCATTGTTGCCATCAACAGAGTTTCTCTTCTCAGACGCTCAGCTCTCATACTTTCTGCAAACATTTCTTCCTTCCTTCTCATTCTCTCATTGATGTTCCCCGTCCAGTTTTACACACATCTTTACATTGTAGCTGAAATCAGCCTCTGCATCTTCTACACAACTGTAATTCCCCACACAGGATGTCTCTAATTGCCATAATACTATTATACATCAGGCTATTCTTACTACACGTACGGTAAACATATGAGCGCACAGACATACATACAGAGCTAAAAAAAATTTGATGATGAAAAATATGACTGAAATGTAAATAAAAGATAAAAACTACAGAAAAACAATTTAATTAAAAATAAAACAAACAAATAAAGCAGCTCTAAAGTAAACAAGATTTTAATGGATAACAGCCAGCACAAACTGAGAATTATAAAAGAAATTTTAAACAAGGTTTCTCTTTATGATTAGAATAATGAGGACACAAAGTATACCCCTGTGCAAAAATGATTGCTGTGCAGCGGGGAGTCCCCAGGAGATCTAGCCAACACTTCACAGTAAGGAAAGACAGGCTGACATTCACACTGCTAATGATACCATTCTAGGTCTGCACTGGCTGTCGAAGATGGGGATGGAGCACTTATGGAAATGTTCTTCCTCTAGTGATGGTAATCCTGAACATATCTCAGCCAAAAAGTGCATTATACTGTTTGTGTTCTCATTATTTCAATTATATCAGGATAAAAGAACAATAACTAAAGCAGCAATCTATATAGGCCATCACCTACACAAGACAGCTGGGATGTATCAACTAAAAGATGCAGCCTGTTATCACTTGATAATAACAATGAAGATATTATAACCAAGACATCATGAAAACATTGTCATAAAATTGGTTGCAGCTGACACAGAGACTAAAAACAGATACTTTTTATCAATAAACAAATAGCATATAACAATATATACTTTCTTCACACCTTCAATTATACTAGGCATATAGGACTAGTCCTATATTTTATAGACCAACTGGCAGGTGATGTGGTCAGCATCACACCAGCTGCCTTTACTTCCCAGGACTTTACCTGGAACCAATTTAAGGCTGGGTCAAACACAGCCAAGGTCATTTCTGGGAGGAAAAAGCACAAATACCATCTGGATCTGAACCCACGATCTTTGGATCTGCAGATGAGCATCTAGTTGTTACACCACAATAGATCCCAAAACAATACATAAACAGAATTAACAAACATAAATATTCATCTTTATCATGTACGTCAACCCTTGAGCTGGCTGTAAAGTTTCCAAACCATTTAGCCTGATACAAGTCTATCTTCTCTTCTTGACCACCTGTATTCACCTCTTTAACCCTACCAGACCGCTGGCCCGGTTTACCGGGAATTTCTTAACCTGTCTCTATACCGCTGGCCCTAATTTTCGGCTTTTTTACGTAGTACGGAAAAACGATGCGTCACGGACTAAAAATAACCACCCAATCGCCATCAATCCTCTTTGTTAGACATTGCAAATGTCTGCCCGTATGAGTTTGGTTTATATTTGTGTTGTTTTACGTGGAAAAATTCTGAAAATTCACAATGAAACGAGCGGCTGATGAACGAAGTTCTAGGCTTTTCACAGTCCAACAGGTGATCGTTACTTTTGTTTATTCAGATTCTGTGATATATATTTATAGATATATTCATTATCTGTGATAATTTCATAAAGAAAACGTTCTTGAAGTGAAACTGTCATTGAAAGCGCGAATGATGAGGGAAATCTTGAAATTATAAATCTTCAAATAGATCGATAGTAGGAGAAGGGGGTGTGTCCATCAAACGGCAACATCTGGTGTTCACTTTGTGAAACAAAGTTAATCCTGATGAGTGAATTCGCACACAAAGGTGGAATAATGGCGCTAGATAAAAGGTAAGACTATTTTTTTCAATGTCTCCAAGTTTCATCATATTCTAGCCACTCGTTTGCATGCAACTAATATATGTGAATATCATGTTGGTTTTTTCGCGGTAATGCCCAGGAGCTCAGGTTATAGGGACAGTTAGGTTCAGGGCCTCAGGTCTGGTAGGGTTAAGGGTATTGCAGGACAGGGGTACTGAGCCTAAAGATTCAGGGCCGTATGACAATGCAGTCGCCATAAACTGTTCGGGTTAGGATTCTATATTTACTCACAACAGAACTTCAGTCACTTTACCAAGGATTTAAACCCAGGTCTCCCACATGACAGCCCACTGAGACAGCAACTCATGTTCTGTTTTGCTCAATTGCCCTACCCAGATACATGTATACCTACTTGGTGTGTTTTCGCTTTTCCTTTCCTGTTTAACATTCTGCCTTTGAGAGCTCTCTTTGTTGTCTCATTCCTTAAAATTAGACAAAAGTCTGGAAGCTTTTACTGTTACTTTAAATTAAGAAGTCTTGGTACTATAAAATATTAACTAAACTGTCAATTTTTAACATCCATTTTGTCCTTGCCTCTCTATAGTAACATCATACTTTAAATGCCTGCATTTTCACAGAGACATTTCTCATACACTGTCATTTATACTTCTAAACAAAAAGAGCACATAGACTGATGAATATAGTTAACAAATCATATGCACAAAAACACAGACAAAACTGTAACATGCACAACAATGAAGGTATACATTTGATTCTATCATCATCGTCCTGTTTTGACATTTATATGTCACAAGCTCTTGCAGTTGATGTCTTCATTCTGCTCTAAAATGATTATTCATCATTATCATTCCGTTTTATCATTTATATGTCATAAGCACTTGCAGTTGATGTCTCCATTCTGCTCTAATGTGATTCTATAACATCTAGAAAAAGTTACTGGGAGGCCAGGGCGCTGGTTGCGGGTTTGCTCCTCTTACAAACGGCTGATGGATGTTAGGTTGGATGGGAGGACCAGTGAAATTCATATTTGGGCCCTGTTGATGTTGTGGTCCAGAAAATTGAAATGGTGGGCCTGTGGAGTATGGTTGTGGACCAGCAGAGTATTGTTGTGGACCCGAGGTGTATGTCTGTGGACCTTGGGTGTATAGTTGTGGCCCTGCAGAGTAAGTCTGAGGAGCTGAGGTGGAAGCTTGTTGTGATGGATTGTTCCACACATCTGGAGCTGAATCTGAAGCAGCCTGACCCTGCTGTTGCTCCATGCCTGCTGCAAGTATCTGGGCCATATTCTCTAGCTCAGCAAGCTGATCTTGCGCAGAGTGCACTGAACTGTATGATGTGGGTGCTACAGGTGTCAGAATCGGAGGAGGTAACGGCTGGTTTTGATTTTGGTGATAGACTCCAGCAACTGAATGATTTGGTGCCTCTGATTCTCTGTATAATCCAGAGGTTTGCTGGTAAGGCATCTCAGCTTCTCTGTATCCTCCAGAATTATGCATGCCAAACTCTGAATATCTTCCTGAATCTGGCCAGTTTGGCAACTCAGGTTCCCTGCTTTGTCCATAATTTGACTGACCTAGCATTCCTGATTCCAGATGCCCTTCAAAAGCAGAGTAGTTAGTCATACCAGGTTCTCTATATCTGCTTGTATTAGACTCATCTGCTATTCTAGATTCTGCATATCCTCTAGAATTAGGCTGATCTATTATTCTGGAATCTGCATATCCTCTAGAATTAGGCTGATCTATTATTCTGGAATCCGCATATCCTCTAGAATTAGGCTGATCTACTATTCTGGAATCCGTATATCCTCTAGAATTAGGCTGATCTATTATTCTGGATTCTGCATATCCTTTAGAATTAGGCTGATCTATTATTCTGGATTCTGTGTATCCTTTAGAATTAGGCTGATCTATTATTCTGGATTCTGCATATGCTCTAGAATTAGGCTGATCGGATACTCTGGATTCTGTATATCCTTCAGAAGTAGGCTGATCAGATATTCTGGAATCTGTATACCCTCTAGAATTAGGCTGATCTGATACTCTGGAATCCAAGTATGCTTTAGAATTAGGCTGATCTGATACTCTGGAATCCAAGTATGCTTTAGAATTAGGCTGATCTGATACTCTGGAATCTGCATATCCTTTAGACTTAGGCTCATCTGATATTCTGGAATCTAAATATCTTCTAGAGTTATGCTCATCTGATAATTTCGAATCGACATATCTTCTAGAATCAGGATGATCTGATACTCTGGATTCTGGATATCCTCTAGAATCAGGCTGATCTGATTCTCTGGATTCTTGATATCCTCTGGAATTACGCTTATCTGATATTCTGGATTCCACAAATTCTCTAGAATGTGTCTGTGAGGGTATGCCACGCTTATCTGATATTCTGGATTCCACAAATTCTCTAGAATGTGTCTGTGAGGGTGTGGTGACAGGTTCTCTGCCAACAATTTTGCTTCTGCTGTTCATGGGAGAATCAAATCTGTCTACATCTCCCATGCCTTTACTAGTTCTTCCATAAGTATCCCTGTTCCCAAATGGATCAACCGGTTCCAGGTCCATATCACTTGAACCACTAGAAATATTTGATGGTAATCTTTCTGTATTTCTGCTGGATACCGGCTTAACTCTTTCAGCAGGCCTCAATATGCTCCGACTTCCTCTTTGTACTGCAGAGTTGAGAATTTCATCATCTTCATTCCCACTGACATGTTCATTAATTTTGAGGCTGCTGTTATAAATTTCCCTGATCTTCTCAATGACTGTGGCAGAATCATTACTTGCTGTTGGTGGCAGTTTCTCACTGGGTGTAGCAGCCCTGGCTGAAGCCCTGCCAGTTCCAATCATCTCCTGCACAAACTGTTCAATGAATCTTGCACTCTGACTTTCGGAAAATGCTTCCTTTTCTGATTCATCTGAAGAAATTTGGGATTTCCTGGGCAGAAACAATGATCAAAAATAAAATTCCTGAGAGAAGTTATAATCATGGCAAATTTGTCACTCAAGCATAATTCTGATTATACTTTAAACAGAAAAACCTATGGCATAGCACCTGCAAGCCAGTTAAATGTATCTTTTCTGTGGCAACTTATGGACGTTAGTTTTAGATCTTTATTCAGTGTCTGAAGAAGAAAATCTGAGCTTTTGAACAGAAATGCTACAGAATAATTCTTAGAATACCATGGACCAAGAAGAAAAAAAAGTTGACTTTCTGCATGACCTGAACATCAAGGAGAACTGGCACGTAAACAGCATGCATTCCCAAAAGCTGAGGTATTTTAAACATGTCAAGCAAGATGGTGGTCTGGAAAGACCGATGGCGGAGGGTGCAGTTTCCACACAATGAGGTATAGGGTGGATACAGGACATTGAAGGTGCACTGGATATGAAAGCACACCGGGCTTGAGAATTGACCAGAGAAAGTGAGACTTTCAGGCGTGCAGTGAAGAGAACGATGTTCCGTAAAGGATATGCTGACTGATTGACTGATTAATAAAAGTAAAGAAAACAGTGCATATTTAATGTTTTGAATGAGTGCTTCTGAAGGCCTTTACTGCAGCTTTCTGCTGACTTGCAGAACCAGCCGAAGACACATGACATGATTGTAACAAACTCATAAAACATGCTGAAAAGACAGGAGAAAAGTGTGCTGCATGCAATGTGGCAAGCACTGGTTCAGAAGTCCTGGGTAGTTGGGCGTTCTTTGGATCTGATATGCAGGTAATGTGGATGTATTGGGAAACAGACAGACAGATAGGCTGGCTGGCTGATGCTGTATCACTGGGTGGTGAGCTGATGCTGAATGTGGTTTAGGTCTCCTGAAAGCAAGTGAACAATGTGGAAAGTGTGAATAATAAATGTGGGTGTGGAGAGAATGGCGCAGGAGGTTGACCAGAATATCTGGCTGATACTCAATTCTCAGAGGAATAGAACGATGGATATATAATCAAGCTGGGTCTAGCACCATCAGCAATGGAACTCTTCTCTGGCTGCTGAAGACAAGGACAGGGTGCTTATGTTAATGCCCCAGGCCCAGCTATGTTGGTTCTAACTCAGCACACTTTGAAGGAGTGAATGAAAACCTGGGAAAATGGGCCATCCTTTCTGGAGATATACATTCTCAAATGTCATTAGTCAAATGTGTGTGTGAATTACTGCAAATACTGAATACAAAGCCTAGTTTGTAAACTGTGAAATAACAGAAAGTAAAAGGTCTGTCAGCTTCAAATATTCCTGGCCAACATCAGCTATAGTAAATAAACATTGTCATTTTGTAACTAAAAACCATGCTCAAAGAAATTAATAGACAAACATAAAACTAACTAAAATACGCTTCAGATAAATACCAGGTAACTAATGAACAAATTACCCAAACAAAATCCAATTTACTGTATCAAATATTCAAAAGAAAGCATGGATACATAACAATTTCAGATATTGTGGAAAACAGGAAAACAAAGTGCAATCATTTCACATGTAAACCAAGAGAAAAAAAAATGATAATTAACCATATAATACAAGATGAAATGGAAATATCATAGTAAGTCAGGTAAACAGGTAGCTGTTTTTTTTAACTTATTAAGCAACCGGGTTAGCCCACAGTTGCTCCACTCCAGTACCAAAGAAAACCACAAAGGAAGTCCACCACTCTCCCGTGTCAAACAAATTGACACAGACTACAGTCTTAACAAATTCAACCCTAAGGCAGCAGTCAAAAGTGCCAATACAAACAGTGTGACACCAGAAATACAGCTTACTGTCAATGGAAACAGCAGTTACAACATATCAGTAGTAAGTAAAAGAACCTTTTCATGTCACAGAGGTTTCCCGTGTGGGTTCTGGGGCACCATAATATACCAAGGGGAAAAAGATCCAAGGCCAATTTCATCAAACAACTATCTGTGAACGACATGCACTAATTGCTCCTTCAGAAACTGAACTGCAACACCATATAATAAATCATTTGAACCAAATTTGCAAACAGCAAAACACGAAAATTAACACCAACAAAACAGAGGTCATGACCATAGCTAAAGTAGACAAAACAATAAATATCCAGCTTACAGAACACCTTCTGAAACAAACCAAGAGCTTTAAATACTTGGGAGGCATAAAACCATCAGCTGGCAAAACGAAAGATGAGACATGACAGATGTAACACAGCAAACTAACTCAATGGGCAAAAAGCACCAATACTAAAATCAATGATGTATTAATAGAAACCAAAAGAGCACTCTATGACACAATCTTCTTGCCAACCCTGTGCTATCAAAGCCAGACCTGGATATTGACAGAAATAAAGAAAAGAAAAATTTAACTAAAATGAGATTCCTATAAAGGGCTTTCAATATAACAATAAGAGATAAGATCAGAAACAATGAATTCTGATGGAAAATGGGAGTAGCAGCAGCTCTGGACTTCATTAAAACACAACAGGTGAAATGGTTTGGCCATATAATGTGGATGTCAGCAGTCAGTATATCACAGCAAGCCATGATGTACAGACCAGATGAGAAGTGAAGATGATGCCGACCATGCAAGCGATGGACACAGGGAATTACAGACTCTCTGGAAATCCCAACTTAAGAAGCATACAAACTGGCTCTTTTCATAAATTATACTTCGCCTCAACACTGCAAGGTACAAAATAGAGATAGATAGATAGATAGATAGATAGATAGATAGATAGATAGATAGATAGATAGATAGATAGATAGATAGATAGATAGATAGATAGATAGATAGATAGATAGATAGATAGATAGATAGATAGATAGATAGATAGAGAGACAGAGAGAGAGAGAGAGAGAGAGAGAGAGAGAGAGAAAGTGGAGTGGTGTGGTGTGGTGTGTGTGTGTGTGTGTGCGGCTGCTCGTTGCTCATCTGCGGACCAGAAGGTCATGGGCTTAGGTCCTGGCACAAGACCCTGTTGATTTTTTTTTTTTCAAAAAATGACCTTGGCACCTAGCCTGTTCCAGCCTTATATGGGTACCAGGTAGAGTCCTGGGAAGTAAAGGTGGACGGCAAGATGCCGACCCCATCCCCTACTGGAGGCTCAATACACCTAAAGTTGGGAAAAGGGGTTCTTCATTTACCATTACCTATTATATAATACAACATACCATTGAGCTTGTAGCCTGGTATAGCTGGCAGATCTTGAACTTGTCCTCAGGTCTAGAAATGTAATAATATAAACAATGAACAAAAACTGCAAGCCATCTGATTTTAAGAAAAAAAAAAAAAAAGATACAGGGCATTTAATGGTGAAACCACCATCTTCATGGCACTGGGTTTAATCACACATGACATGGTTTCTCTTACGGAGTCTCTGGTCACCCACAGAGATTTTTGCACAAAGCAAAGAACTCCATTGCTTAAGTGGCAATGCCCATTGATTTAAGAAACATCCACATTTGCAAACCAAATCAAAACAGAATTCAGCTTTCAAAGCAGAAAGCAAACAGAATAACTGCTTTTCCATGGACCCTCTGCTATAAAAAAACAAAACAAATGACAGGACAGGAATTGTTTTCAGGTTATTAACATTGAAAGCATAAATGATCAAAACTGCTTAACCCAGCAAAATCCCACAAGTCATATTTACAGATTAAATATTATCATAATGAAGACAAACTGATGAATGATAAAGTAGTTCATAAAAAAATTTTAATTAAATTTGGAATGGGTATTGAAAAAAATAGCATTTTACAAATCAAAGAATAATCTGTTTCCTAAAAGGTTAAAGTGCCAGTCATGGAAGCAAATCAGGGACAATCAGATAATTGCAATGCACGTTTTCTCATGCAGGTGTACAAGGAAAATAAGCAACATGATAGGCTTGCAGGTAAAGCTAGTGCGGAGGGCGGATGAGCCATGGAACAGGCAGATATTCTAAATGCTCTATGAGAAGTAAGATGCTTGTGAGAACCAAGTGATGACTGTGAATCTGCAACAATGACTAGACTGCACTAACAACATGTTGAAAGGGGTGCTGCTAGTCAAAAGCACTATGCTGGAAGCCAAAGAAGAATATGAAACCAATGCAGAACTGGTGGTGTCAACAGCTGCTACATGCTGCAAGATTTACTGAGGACGATATCCGAGCAGTTATGGACTGAAGTATTTGTGGTGCAATAAGGATAATCTATCGACTAGCAAACCAACTATTCCAGAACCTAAATGTTGCATGCATATCCATTTTACAGATCTGACTTATTTGTATGCAGACCACTGGTTCCTTGCCTCTCAGACAAATGCACACTGACGTCAAAGGAAGCCCTCAGTTAGTCGACATGCTTGTGGGGAGGTAATGGGTCTATTCTGGTTTTTCTCAAAATGGAGCCACGGGAACCATAGGGAAATATTATTACGACATTTCCCCTTTTGCCCCAAGAAAACCATATTTCCAGCTAAAACAGGTTTTGGTTGACATGTCTTTAGACAGTGCCCAGTAGGTCTTTATGACAGCTGTAATAATGGCTGCAACTGTACAGTGTGTAGGCCTGTGTATGATTATCCCCCCCCCCCCCCCCCCCGACTCAAATTTCACAGATAATTTCAGCAATGTCACAATGCTCGGTGTGTCATCAGTAAATTCTTTGGACTGTTTGTATTTAGTGGCTACTTCCCTTTATGTAAAAAATAAAGCTTTTCCCACTTTAGACTTTTAGTGACTGGGGAAAAAATATTTTACAATGTTTTAGTGATGTGACATCATCAAAGAAGCAGAGGACTTCACCCCTGCCCATCTTCTCGGTGGTCTGTGGTGTCAATCCCCTGGATATTAATAAAAACTGACCAATGTGCTGCTGCTGCTTCTCATTTCTGAGAGTTTCAGACAAATTTTAAAGTTGCAACTTAGAAAAAGGTCACTTTTAAATATTCTTATGGGGTGAAAGGGTAAAGGAAACGGTGACGTTAAACAATTTACGATGGTGTGAGAAGCACACCACTTACACACAAAATGGGTCCCCAAATCTCACATATGGAACTAACTTAGTACAATGATTGACTGACTGACTGTGTGCTAATTTAGTATGACTGACTGACTCATCAATTGTATCTTTGCTAATTTAAAACAATGACGTAACAACAAACTTTTAAAAAGCAGTGTGTATACTTCACTGTGCATATGTAGATGTGCATATATGTACCTTGGTGGGAGTCCAGCGTGACTGGTGGTTGCGGAAGCCACATGCCTTCTTGTGCAACATCTGCCTCATTCTCTCCTGCGCTGATAGGAGACAACACAGAACTGTGAGAAGTTTGCCGTGGTGAACGGGATCTTCTCAGAGCAAGTAATCTCTGCTGACTTCCATACACAGCTGAAGGTGATGATTGCCTCACTCTTACAGACATCGACTGGTGCTTCCTAGGACTTGCAGATCTATAAATAAAATAACATAAGTTAATAAAATAAGCTATTATCATTATAGTGTCTTAATAACAACTGACTCATGAAGAGAACTGATTGCCCACATCAGAAAGAGACAATCAACATTCTTTGAACATGTGATGAGAAGGGGAAAACTGGAGTACATTGTGACAGTAGGAGAGTTGGAGGGGAGGAAAGGCAAAGGGAGACTGAGAGAAAAAATGCTGGACAGTCTGACATCATGACATGGAGAATCATCATCATCGGTATCAGAGTTAACTAAAAGTACACAAGACAGAAGGCTGTGGGTGGACATGACTATCAATGCCACAAGGCATGGACTTTAAGAAGAAGAAGAACAACAACAATACAGTGAAATATCACTCCCTAAAATATTATACAGCCAGACACATGCAGTAGTTGTCTTTTTTCTGGTCATCTGCATCTGCTACATATCAATTATGACTTTCAGATCCAGATTCCTTAGTCCGTGCCATGTGGCACAGGTCTTGTCTGTCCACAGGCCTGTATATCTGCCGCTTGTGGGTTCAAGGGCCTCATTAATTTAAACCAACAACAGGTGGTCAAGAAGCATCGTCACATTTATAACCAAAAGCTTCTTCTTTAGAAGAAGCTAGTTGAAAGTGCCACATTTTTTAAAACAAAACACAACAAGGTTAGGGCCTCACTGTGGGGGCCGAACGAATAGACCCACTGTCCCCCTAACTAGCATGTCATACAAGTCTCTTAATTAGAGAGCACCTTCCTGCAAAGTTGGAGTGCATCTGGCAGAAAGGTAAGGAACTAAACGTCTGCATACACATAAGCTCAACCTGTAAAACAGATGTGCATGCAAAATTCAGGTCCAGGAAGAAGACTATGAAGTTCAAAGTTGACAAACAAGAAAGGCTTTCTGGTTGAGTTTTACAACCAGTGAACGCAACGAAGAAGTTAAACTGACAAAGCTTTCTGATACAGATTTTCCTCAATGCTATCAGGTCAAACTGCCCAACTACCTCTTAGTCTTCCCTTGTATCTTTTCCCCTCCAACTTTCCTGTTGCCATGCTCACTCAAATTTGCTTCTTCATTATTTGTGCCCAAAGATTGTAGACTGCCCTCTCTTTCTTAGGCATTCACCTCTAAAAAGACAGCCTGGGATGCACTTTTGTTGTTTACAGATAGGCTGTAATATCTGCACCTTTAAGCCCAACACATCCATTTTCAGCAAACCCTTAATTAGTCATCTATTACAACATACTTGTTAGAGGGCAGTAGGTCTACTCTTCTCTCCCCCCCCCCCCTTTCCCCAAAAACCCATACGGAGAGCCTTCTCCTGATACCGGTGACTAGTTCTCTTGGTAGGTTAATTTCAAGACAGAAAGATTAATTGTCCTTTTTATACGGCCACAGAGTTCTCATCAATCTTCTACAAAATGTCATTAATACAGCTTCTACATTTCTTTTCTATGGTTTACCAATAGAGAATAGACTAGACCCTCATCCATTCTCACTCAAAGGTTTAACATCCTTTGCCCCTCCTGTGGTTCTCTCATTACTCACCTTTGTTTTAAAATCTCTATAGTTTTTTGATCTTGAGGATTCCACAGTTAACTTTCAAGTTAAACTATTAACAAATGTTCTCATTTCATCTACACTATACTACTATCAACTGGCAGCCCATGGAGCAAGTGGCCCTTAGATCACTGCTAGTTGTATTATATTAAAGATTCTTCTACGCTGGGAGCTTGGGCTCTCTGGCCAGGTTTGAGTCCTCTGGCCTATAATGATCCCCATTCTCAAAATATTGGCCACAGGGAAAAAAAGTCAAGGAATCCCTTTAAATGTTTTGAAGGACATTAGGTAAATATTATCAGGCCCTCATTTTTATAGAATATTTGGAGCATTTTTGGGTTATGTCGTCAATATCATGCCAGCTGCCTTTGCCATTCAGAACATTTCCCGGACAAGATTGGCTTTGATTTGTGAACAGTTTTAGAAAATATCCATTTTAACTGGCATTTAAATGTCCCACCAGGCTGATGGGTGAAACTGTTCTGCACTGCTGTGGTTCTTGTTCCATTGCAGCAAGTAAAGGACCAATTTCCCACTTCCAGCATGTTAAGCATTTGTTGCAATACTTAATACTTTCATAGATGAATCATAACCTGATAGGAGATGTGGTCAGTATCAAACCAGTTGGCGCTAATCTATTAAAATGCTACAATAAATTACTGATGTGACCGTGGCAACAGGAGTGGATGTGAAAAACAAAATGTATTCAACATACTTAAATAAAACAATGTAACTGAGGAAACAAACAATCATGGCCTACCTTCCTCTGTATATCTGTCTAGTTATAGGGCTTCGGGATCTGGTCAATATCACATGTCTACTATCATCTGCTTCTCTTTCTTTCCTCTCCAAACTACCTAGTCTCTTCTGCAGAAGAAGGTCAAGAGTGTTCCCTCTCCTGACATCTCTTTCGGGATAATCCTCATATCTGTCCATCTTGCTTAGAGAAAATGTATCTGAGTCATTATCCTGAGATCCATGTGTTTTTCTAATAAAGTCTCTTCTGCTACGATAACTGACTATTTTAATACCATGTCTGTCAACTGTAGGGGTTACCCTCAGTTTTACGTTGTCCCTATCTTCACTTCTATTTCTAGTTCTTTCAGCTCTACTGCTTGAACGTCCCGCTCTCCCTCGGTCGCCAGCATGTCTCCCTTGGCCGCCAGCATTTCTTCCATGAGCTGGATGACCACTCGCTTTGTCATAACTACCCCTTCTAGCACTTTCAACATGAGGTTGGTCTCTCCGGCTCCTATCCCTACTAGCCTCAGGTTCCTCACGAACTTTACTCCCCGATTTACTCAGTCTGTGAGCAGGTCGCTCTTTTCCTCTGTCAGAGCTTGAAACATGACCGACTCTGTCATGTCTTTCCTTGCGGACATCATGGCTGCGTGGTCTGCTAGAATGAATTCCATGAATGCTCTTGTCCAGTGGTTTAGACAAGGAACTTTTCCTATTTTTATCCAGAAGCCTGAAAAGAGACAACCGATATCAAAATGGAGACATTTGCTTGATAAATCTGCATAAATATTAAACTGTCTTTACTCCCTGTGTGGGTTTCCGGGGCCCCATTGTGGGAAAACAAGAACAGACCCACTGCCACTGCAAATGAGTCTGACCTGTGAAACGGATGTGCACGTAACACTCAGTTTCTGAAATAGGGTTAGAGTCCAAAAGTGGATGAACATATAGAACCTTCCACCTGAGTTTAAAGCTGATGAATGTGAAGAAAAAGAAATTGTCCTTACTGCCTGCATTTGCTACTGTTGGGGGTATAGCAGAGGGGTCATGAGCCTGAGGATTTAAGGCTGCATGGATGGTGCAGGTGCCACAAACTGTGCAGGCTAGGATTTTTATTTCTGCCCTGATAGGAAAAAATCTCATCTCTTAGTAAAGACAGAACTTGTGTCTCCCACATGAGATTCAAGCACTCTAACCAACCACTCTGCCAGCCCCTCCTTACAAATAGCCTATACAATAATATCATGTGCACAAATATGCAGCTAATATAATTATACCTGATACCTGAAGAATGATTAGAACACTGTTATCAGATAAGTTAGCAGAGGTTTCAACTTCATTACAGGCTCATTCCATAACTGCTCCGTTCCTGTGCCATTGGAAATCACACAAAATGTCTCTCACTGTCAGGTTTGAATCTAGTCAAAAACTTGTTAGTATCAGGTGTGCCAACACTGATGGTTCCACATCAGAATGGCGGCTCATTTGTGGTGCAAAGGGTAAATTAGAAGAGCCAGTATTGTATAAGCGCAAAAGTGCACGTAATCGGTCAGCCCATTTTAGATCAGAAATTAAAATGCTGCATGAAATCCACAGCTTGCAGTGTCGCACTAAACTCAACAGCTAGCCTACTGGCCATTTTGGAAACTAGGGCATGTTGTGATAATGAAAGTTTGGAGAGAGACAGAATGAGACCAAAAGAGATGTTGCGAGGTTGGATGAGAGACAGAATGAGACTAAAAGAGATGTTGGGCAGTTTGGCATCATGACACGGATGAACACATCCATCAGAAATGAGTGGTAACACGCAGGATAGAAGGCAGAGGACATAAATGATTACCAAAGCCACAAGTTTGGAACTATTTAAAGAAGAAAAAAAAAGTCGACAAAATTAAAGACAAGTATAAAAAAAATATAATAAGTGGATAAAAGAATCAAAATGTATGATTTCTGAAAAACAGTAAGTTGATGGTTTAAATTCCACTAGATTCTTTGAAACTTCACAAAAGCAAACTGAACAAGTATCACATTGTGGAGAAAACAAGAATAGACCCAATGACTTCCCAACAAGCATATCGTAGGAGTCGACTAACTGGGGACTGCCTTCAAAGTCGGAGTGCATCTGCCTGAGCGGCAAGGAACAATAATTTCACACAAATAATACAGTAAAATGGAAGTAAACGCAGAATCAGGCCTGGAACAAAGCCAATTCCAATTAGACAAACAACTAGGACTTTCCACCAGAGCTTGCAGCTGGTGAACAAAGAAGAAGAAGAAGAAGTAACATCCCTTCAACTATCTGGGGCATCTTCAGACTACTGAATTACTGTGAAGAAAGCATATTAATCAGCGAGAGCAAGTGTTAAGCAAACTATCTGTTTTCTAGCATGGATGGATATTTAGACATGGAGTTGACTTTATCCCCTCAAAAAATAGTTACTACATGTAGTTTATTTGGTAGTTGTATCACTGTCCATGTTGTTGTGTGCGGATGAAGACTCCCTAGTTGCAAGTTTTTGTTTTTTTTTCATCTGTAACTGTATTTTATTGGGGCGGTTCTACTTCTCATCTAAGTCTATGAGTGTTTTTTTTTTTTTTTAATGCAAAGATGAAAGTAGAAATATACAAGTTCATATTTCTATGCTTGATAAATACATTTCAAAGTCAAGCAACACTTTAAAATTATAAAAATCATATGATAACCTGGCTACAGGAGCTCTGCTTAACCTGAGCAGCTAATCAAATGCTACACTGAAATTGAAAATAAAATAGCTAAGACAGCTTACCTGTCTCGTGTTTCTTTTCTGAGTTCACTAGCCTTCGAAGTGAGCCCGCTAGTTTTTCTCACAGTAGTTCTGCTGCCACTAGTAAGTGATTCATTCTTGCTCCCCTTTTTCTCAGCTGGGCGGGTGCTTGGTAAATGGTGCTGAATTCTTGATGTCTTGTATACTAGGGGGGTAGTCTTTTTTTGCGTAGGGGATGTTGTAGTTTTCTGGCTTGTTTTAGGGACAGCAGTGGCAGTTTTCTGGCTTGTTTTAGAGACAGCAGTCTCGACCCCAATATCTGATGTGTCTGAGATGTCTGAGAGTTCATCACTGACATCTGAGAAGGCTGGATTCGTGGATGAGCCCGCAGCTGGAGCTTTACTGGATACCAATGTACCTTTTAAGTACAAAATTAAACCTCAGTAAATAAGTAATATCACTAAAGCATACTGGAAATTTGGTATGAAACTTGTATCGACCAAACAGAGTAATGTAATTAGTAATGCACCAGCTGCCAGCTTTACCATAGTAGATAAATCTCTGCTACAAATTAAAAGAAGATAGGTTAACCTCACAAATGCCCTGTCACTAATCAGAAATGAACCACTAGGATGTGTTGGTAGCTAAGTACGCTAATCCCCAAAGTTCCTAAAAGCAATATAAATTCCTATATAGGATTGCACACTGAATGATTAACACCTAGAGAAACCTCTTAAGTAGCAATGAAATATCTTTTTGACTTTCCGAGAATGCACCGTAGGACTCGTGCATACCTGAAGATATGCTTGGATTTGAAGCACCCTCTGCACAACGTTTTTTTTTAAGGAAAAAGGACAACAGCCTAAAAAGGGGCAATTTATAGCTCAGTAGGGCAATGGACGATATCATACAGGTCTGCAGTCTTACAGACATAAACCTCGGTGAAGAATTGATACCTTTGCTACATGTGCTCAACTGCACCTTTTCCTTTGTTGCCACGCTTGATAGGAGCTGTCAGAAGCAGATTTTCAGTTGCTGTCAATGCAGAGATCCACGCGCTTATATGTGAAAATTCAGATGTGGCGGATTTACACAGATTGGTCTGTTTGTAACCAAACAGTGCATGAGCATATACTAGTGACACAAGCTTTCATGTGGCTAGCATCGCAGGGCTATTCTCACGTGTGTGTGCTGAGTGATTCCATGAGCATGACCCAGCAGGTAGAGGCGGGCTTTATACGCAGACAGTGGATCAAGTCATTGCAAAACTCCACTGTGCGTGGAGTTTCCTTCATCTTTGTACCAGGGTATGCGGGTGTTGTTGGCAATGAAAGAGTTGACAAATAAGCCGGCTCTGACTTAGTTACAAAGAGCCGGCCCATGGATCATGCTGACATTGTTAACACCATTAGAGAGATAGGACGTTTGGAGGATTTTGGAAGCAACACTTCCACATCTTTGCTAAGAGTGCAAGAAATGGGAATAAAGATCAGCACAGCCAGGCACGAGAAGCACACCGGACACACAAGAAATCTTGTCAACCAACACAGAACTGGGATTATCAACTGCGGGATGCTGATGTATATGCTGAAGGGAGAATCTGAGCACTTATGGACGTATCCGGAGTGCTGTGAAGATAACCCAACTCATAATACCTAGTGCCTCAAAAAGACATTATTCGAGTGAGAATCCAAAAGAAGCAAATCCTAGAAACCCTGCTCAACATATAACACCGTTATTAGGGCACCTGACAGTTATCTCAACTCTTATGAGGGTGGGCTCAGGAAATGGTCTAAATTAGTTTAATGTTTTCATCTTTACATGTAAACATATTTCTGGTCATGTCTACAGCTTAAGGTTTAAGGAAAATTTATGTTCATTTACAATCTTCTGTGGCTCACTACCCAGAAACTAGGGGGAATTACAAGAAGTCCAAGTCCACATGAAAAATCCCTGACCTTACTGGGGATTGAACCTGAACCCTCTAGCACTCGAAGCGTACACCATGCCTCGAGACCACGCAGCCCCCAACTTTTAAATGAAACACACAAACCATATGTTCGAATGTAACATTGCAGATCACACCATTTGTTTTTTGTTTACATAATGTAGGATAATATTTGTTGTCTGTATTAGTACAAAACATTGATTATCGAGGTTTTATAAGTAGGAATTTAAAAGACTAGAAGACACATTTCCTTTGCGGTCACCCTGAAAATGGTGGTTGGCACATCTTTTTATAATTTCAGCTGCGACATCTGCGCCTTTTCACCCAAAACATCCAATTGCTGCTAACCCTTAATATAGTCACCTTTTATGTCAAGCCTGTCAACGGGCATTGGGTCTATTCTTGTTTCCTCCAAACTGGGACCCTGGACCCACAATGGAGAGAAAGATAGACAACTTTGCTTGCTCCCTTTCTATTCCAACAGCACAGTCCTGTGTTTAAAAGATGTATAACTAATGCACTTACCTACAGGCTGCTGCGGATGTTGTACAGTGCTGGACCCTGGTGCTGGTGATAAAATCTTTTTAGTACTGGCTTCAGTTTCCACTTTCATGATCACCTCTACCTCCTCTTTTTTACCAACCTGGAATTAAAAGTTAATCAGCAAACACCTTCTTCTCTGTTGGCCCTTAAAAAAAGATGTGTGTGGTGCTTTGTGTTGTGGTTTACAACTAAGCTGAGATATCTGTGTCTTTTGACTCAACACTTCCAATTTCAGCAAGCCCTTAAATAGTCACCTTCTATGACATGCTGGTTAAGGGGTAGAGGGTCGATTCTGTTTTCTCAAATATAGGGCCATAAAGGGTGGCAGATGAGTGTTGAAAACTTGATTGCATTAGGTTTAATCCCATACAGCCTGGTCTTTACCCTCAAATGGCTGACTGCCAGCCAACAACATCACACAAAGCTATGTGGCTCCAGCAGTTATCCCTAGGATCTCTGAAACACCCGCACTAACAAAATGAAGGATGCAGTTCAAAACCGAACTTACATCCTTTAAAGCACAAGGTAAACAACTAAACCTCTTTGCTTCATGACTGACTGACTTTCTACACCACCAGTTGAACACAAGCGATAAACACCCGATGACACAATGTGCCACCATGTGGATAAGGATCACTGTGGAGAGGTCCCAGAAACCTTGTTCAGCATTAGGCTATATTGCGGCTTCTGGTATGAGCCAGAGTAGGGCTTCAAATATCGAAAAATTGCATCCTTAAAAAAAACGACAAGATTGGGTATTCCGTCTTTTCTACATAGTGAAACTAAACATAATATCTAAAATGGTTTTCAGGCCATTATTCAGTCTCAAAAGTGACACATGTTTCTTGAACTTATCACTCAGATATTAATCTCCCCTTGTGACTGCCCAGAAACTGATGCTTGGGAAATTAACGTGGGTTTCACTTGCCACCCACATAAGAAATGAACACGATGGAGCTGTTCAAATGAGGAAAGCCTTTTCCCTATGTAAGTGCAAAATTGAAGGCCTTCTCTCCACAATGCCAAACTATTAGTCAATGTTAAACTGGCATTTGATGGATTCTTCTTCTTCTTCTTCTACTTCTTCTAGGCCCACGAGAGGTTCACTTCTGTGGATATTACCCATCTCCATTCATTCCTGTGATGGGCCTTCACTTTCCAATTAGTGACTAAGTGTTTAAAAGGTTTGCCTATAAATTATTTCTCCAAAATCTTTCTAGTCGTGCTTTGTTCCCATTCAATTCTTAATCTGACTGATAATGCAGTCAATATGGCAGCCAGATGTCTTTACCTTCCAAAAATGTCCTGACTTACAAATTATCTCAGTATAGGACCATGATGAGGCGTCCGTGGCTAAGGCGTTGCGAGTCCGACTCGTAAGCCAGCATACCGCGATCGAAACCCACTGCAGGCTGCGTGGATTTTTGTCATGGTATGGGACATCGCAGGTCGACCCAGCCTAAAATGGGTACCAGGATGGGCTGTCCTGGGAAAGTAAAGACAGCCGGCGTAATGCTGACCACATTACCCACAGTGCTGATGGTCTGTAAAAATATGGAACACTCTGCCCATATGCCCGATGCGCCGAAAGGCGTGGAAAGGGATCTTTACTTTTTTTTTTTTTACTTATAGGACCATGATACGAGACAGTAGGTTAAGTATGCTAGCCATAAGTGGCTTGCTGACCAGTGGGGGACAGTTAAGATTTTTATTTCATGTGATCTCTAAATGTTCTATACTGCAATGAGCAGCTGTCAAGATTCTTCAGTCTTCTACAGGTTCTATTTTCACACAAAAAAGTTATACCTTCCTATTCTTCTTTTTCTGTGCTTGTCTTTAAAAGAGCGGCTGGCAAATCACATTGTGTTTTAAGGCCTTTCATTCAACTCAACACATCCAATTTCAGCACAGACTAAAATGTATACTCATAACAAACTTACATAGGGTGTAGCATTTATATCTCTTGAAACTGCTTTCAGTTCTCTCACATTTTTCATTTCATTTTCGCGACTTTTCTTTTCTTCCAAAATCCCTGTTGAAACAGCAGCAACAATTATTTCTTTCAAAGGTTTGAAAAGAAGCAATCCAAAAAGAAATACTATTAAAATCATACAAACATAATTGTGAGAAAAGCAAACTTGTATGTTACTTCACAGGTACAGTGTAACAATGGTAACCTTCTTCTCTGCCTGCCCTAGCAAGGTGTTGATGGCACTTTGTGTTGTGGTTTACGGCTAGGCTGTGATATCTGTACTTTTTGACCCATTACATCTGATTTCACATTTGTACAACTGAGGTGCATGCAACTTTCAAATTCTGGAACAAGATCAAGGTCCTAAAGTGGACAAACAACCCCAACTTTCTGGCAGTTTACAGCTAGTGAACATTGAGAAGAATTTCACCACCTAAACAAAATGGCAGGTTGCTTGCAATCTGCTGACTAGGCACCATTATAATTTTGCCAGATCATAGAGAAATGGTGTCTGTTTGGATGACATGTTTTGCTTCATGGATGACATTTTAGGTATGGCCATAATAAAATCATTATTTAATTCTCAGACTGTGTATTATTTAGAAATAAAAAAACCTTAAAACGCTAACCTTTTGGTAATTTTAACATTATAACATCCTAAGTTCTTTAATATGTCAATTAAAAAGTAAAGGGCCAGTGGCAGGCCTTCAGAAAAAAAAAAAAAAAAAAAGAACGGTCCTTAGGTCTCAGCTAGACTAAACTGTTCTCATGGCTGGTTCTGAATCAGATACATCAGGTCTCAAATATGTGATGATGGCAACTGTATCAAAGAGATCATGATAAGATCAGTTTATATGGCAACATTCACATGTTCCAACTGAATACGATGTGAAAGAGCAAAATCAGCATAGCAGTAAAGGTCAATTCACAAAAATCATTTCATTACTATACTGTCTATTTTCTTACAAAGATGTGAGAGTTGTATTCTCACTGCAGAAATGTAAAGAAAGATTCAGACATTTTTAGGTCATTAAACTAACAAAAATGTAATTGACAAATTATAAAAATGTGCAGACACCAGGAAACTCTTTCTGGCAGTTCTGAAACTTTGCAAGCTAATCTGCAATCTGGTTCAGGCATGTGTTGAAACATGATTTGATTGGGGGGGGGGGGGGGGGGGGGAGAGAGAATCTGGAATAACATCAAGGAATGCACAGAACTTTATTATTATACACTTGTTCACGCGCAAGACAGAGAAAGATGGCCAGTTTTGTGTGCTAGGTTTCCATCAATACACCTCCACTACACGAACAGGTCAAGGATAATGTTATGTTATAAGCCAGATATTCAAAGCACTCAGCATAAAATGATATCAGGCAATGGCTGTAAATAAAATTCTACATTACCTGCTAATTCAGGGACACTACTGACAGGAGAACCAAATGCTGAGAAAACCAGGCATTCGTTGTTGATGTACATGTGCGTAAACAACTTCATAAAACTATCTGCTCCTTTCTTCCGGTCCAGTCCCAGATGTACACGACTGTGGAACAGAAGACAAGAGAGGATCAAATATGTATCTGGAACATCAACACAAACAGACACAGGACTCTATGTGTACATCATTGGAATTATACCAAGTACCTTAGTGGTAAACCTCTGCTTTGAAAAAAAATGCATTTCTTCTTCTTTGCATTCACTGGCTGTAAACAATGGTGGAAAGTTCTGGCTGTTCATCAACTTCTGGATTCTAGTCCTGTTCCAGAACCTGAGTGCTGTGTGCACATCCCTTTCACAGATTTGACTCATTTGTATGCAGACTGTTGGTTCCGAACCTTTCAGGCAGATACACTCGACTTTGAATGAAGCTCCCAATTAGTCGACTCTTACAACAGGCTTTTAGTTAGGCAGTGGGTTTCCCCAAAAATGGGGTACCAGAACCCACACGAGGAAAAAGTGCATTTTAACACTGGGATTTCTAGATAAAAAAATTACTTTGTGGCAAATTAAAACTGTGTGGTTGTGTGAAAAGTAATCCTCAACTGTGACCTATAAGTGACAAATAACAGCCCCGAAAATGCAAGTAGGTGAAAATCGACATGGTGACTTCGGCATACTGCCAACAATATATGCTGAAGTACTTTGTTCAGGGTGGCAAAATAATAGAGCAACTCATAACCAACAATGAGGTGCTGTTTCTTCACAAAATACTAGATATTAGCACTGTAAATAGAGATCTAGGTTCACCTGGGTAAATATTCTACATCTCAGCATTCAGGACAAGCCCTTGTCAAGTCAATATCAGCTTTGTCTACATCTTCGACAGTCGGCAAAGAGTAAATAAAGGATGCTTACATTCAGTATTGAACAATGCAGAGCCGGTTCCCAGCATCTTCAATTTAGAAGCTGGGATAACTGTTCTTTTCTCTGGCTAAAATTTTTAAATGCACTATACTGTTTTTAACTGAAGATTCTGGAAATTGTTTCAATGAGAAGGTATGTGGTTGAATCCTCACTAGCCTGGCCTGGCTCTCAAGTATAAGCTCCAGGTAGCTGCTGTCAGGTGGCATCGGCCAAACCACAAGTACTAGCTTTGATATGTCCAGTGAAACCAAGCTATAGTGGTCAACAAGTTGAACAAGCTCCCAATGTCCGGTGAAACAAAGCCATGGTATTTGACAAGTTGAACAAGCTTCCAATGTCCAGCGAAACTAAGTCGCGTAGTCAACAAACTGAAAAAGCTCCCAGTGTCCAGTGAAACCAAGCTATGGTAGTCAACAAGTTGAAAAAGCTCCAAGTGTCCAGTGAAACCAAGCTATAGTGGTCAACAAGTTGAACAAGCTCCCAATGTCTGGTGAAACAAAGCAATGGTAGTTGTAAGTTGAACAAGTTTCCAATGTCCAGTAAAACCAAGACGTGGTAGTCAGCAAACAAAAAAAAGATCCCAGTGTCCAGTGAAGCCAAGCCATGGTGGTCGATGAGTTGAATAAGCTCCTAGTGTCCAGTGAAGCCACACCATGGTAGTCGATGAGTTGATAAGCTTCCAGTGTCTAGTGAAACCAAGCTTTGGTAGTCCATGAGATGAATAAGCTCCCAGTGTCCAGTGAAACCAAGCTATGGTAGTCAATGAGTTGATAAGCTCCCAGTGTCCAGTGAAACCAAGCTATGGTAGTTGATGAGTTGATAACCTCCCAGTGTCCAGTGAAACCAAGCTATGGTAGTCAATGAGTTGAAAAAGCTCCCAGTGTCCAGTGAAACCAAGCTATGGTAGTCAATGAGATGAATAAGCTCCCAGTGTCCAGTGAAACCAAGCTATGGTAGTCCATGAGTTGAATAAGCTCCCAGTGTCCAGTGAAACCAAGCTATGTTAGTCCATGAGTTGAATAAGCTCCCAGTGTCCAGTGAAACCAAGCTATGGTAGTCAATGAGTTGAATAAGCTTCCAGTGTCCAATGAAACCAAGCTATGGTAGTCCATGAGTTGAATAAGCTCCCAGTGTCCAGTGAAACCAAGCTATGGTAGTCAATGAGATGAATAAGCTTCCAGTGTCCAGTGAAACCAAGCTATGGTAGTCAATGAGTTGAATAAGCTCCCAGTGTCCAGTGAAACCAAGCTATGGTAGTCAATGAGTTGAATAAGCTCCCAGTGTCCAGTGAAACCAAGCTATGGTAGTCCATGAGTTACCAAGCTCCCAATATCCAGTGAAACCAAACTATGATAGTTGACGTGTTGAAAAAGCTCCCAATATTTGAGGACGTCTCCCTAACCACATGTGATGTCTTCGCTGACATCTTCTCTTCACGGGATTCAGAATACTGCGATGGAGCGACTGCCAGAAATGCTGATAGCCAGCAATATGCTCTGGAAAGTGCAGAGCAAGGTAAGACACATAAAATCCCACCAACATTCAATGCATTCTGATTTCTTCCTCAGTTGTTTTAATTTGTCAGTGCACCAAATGGAACAAGGATAAGAATGTCAGGTCAACTGCACTTTTTCTTATATCCAATTCATATGCAAGCCATCATGTTATCTCATGGCATCATTTAAGGAAGTCCTGTGGCAGCTGTGAAAATGCTTGAAAGTAAGCTCGTGACTGATCTAATAACAACATAGAATCCTAAAACTATCAATGAAGAATGTGACATGGACACAGACATTTGGGAGAAACTGGATGTAGTTTGCTCTGCATGGCGAAGTCACATTTCTCTTGGCACAATGATTTTAAAGCTGTTAAAAAGCAGGCAAATGACGCAGCATGTTCTACGAAAGCCAAAAATTGCAGTGTCTGTTTGAACACCTAAGACTATCATGCTCTCATTACAAAAACATTGCTAGGCTCTGATGGGCATAATCAGTCCCAACCCACTTCAGATTCACTGAAGGCTGACAGAAACACAGTGATCCTCTTGAAGCAATGATGGTTAATTGCAAGCAGCCTTACAGAAACCCGCATCATGCTGTGCCTGATTCTTTCCGTGACTACTACAAAGAAAATGTGTAGAGCTGAGGTCATGAATAGCACCTTGACAAAGAAATGCTAGAGACAACCCCATGCCTCATTAAATAAAGTTGAAAACACTTGGATATCCACTAATGGTCTTAAATAGCAAACGGAAGAATACTGTTCTCTACTGCAGGCTGCATGTAAATTATTTCTCTGCATGTTTTAGGTGATCACCTTGTCTGTAGCAGGCATGAAATGACTTGTCTGTTGAAGAATGTGATGTTTTCATGTGGACAGCAGTTTAAATCACACATGTCCAGGATACCATGGTGCTTGCTCCCTTAGATTACAGAAATGTCTTGTTAAATACAGTGATTTAGCAGCCGGTCTGAGGAGAAACGAGGCGTACACAGTACGAGTCTTTGCCGTCGAAGTGGGAGCGAGAGGCCTCGTTTCCACTTCACTGTACAATGTGGTGAAAGAACTAGGATTGCGCGGTAATAAACGGAAACGAACACTAAAAAAACTGGGCGAGGCAACCGAAGGGGCCTCGAGTTGGCTTTGGACGCAACGCAACAACGTAGGGGACGGGCCTCGGTGAGCTGGTCCGGGTCTCTAGTGGAAAAGGGTTTCTCACCCCTTGAAAGTCCATCGTGTCCGAATTGTCTGCTAGTGTTCCTCTGCCACCTGCTAACAAAAGTCCAACATGTGTCCGGTAAACCAAACGTAAGCTTGTCGCTCGGTCGTCCAGGCACGCTGACTGTTCTAATTAGGCTGCCGCGACGATTTCTTAACTCACAGTACCTTCTGCAAACCACCAAGTCGTCTTGTCTCTATCCGAAAGAAAAACACCATCCGGTAATTTCGTGCAGCAGGGAACCAGCCCTGAGCTTCATGAACTCAGGTGGGCCCACCTCCGAAAGCGTCTAGGAATCATGGGCCGAAACGCTCGTTGACGAGGATAATTTCTACTGACGACTGGTAGATCCCTGCTGTACTTGCTTCCTGTGAGTTTATTCCTATTGTACGTGGCTAGCCCACAAGACTACCAGGAGAGACTTGTGACTCTCGGGAAAGACCTTGTGACACCTATGGAAAGACTGGCCCCCGGTATGGCCGGGGGGATAAACTGACATCTGGAGACAGATGTCGACTGGGGACCGGGTTGATCACCCCTAACACAGTATAATACCTCCGATTTTGTACAACCACATAGAAATATGCCCCCAGGGCCCTCCGAAAAGGGGGAGAATGAAGGGCCCAATCAAATTGATACTTTCTGTGACGACAGTGCTAGCCCCCGGACTCAGATACTCGCCCAATGTCCGGGCTGGCTCTGTACATGTGGAAAGAGCTTCACGGGGTTGCATGGTCTGAGAACGCATGACGGAAGAATGAAATGCGAGGGTGCTCCACGCAGTAAACGCCGTCGCAAAACTACTACTCCTGTGGTAGTTTCTGAGTCGTCAGGGAACGACGGGCTGGGTGAACCCCACTCGCCCGGAGAGGCCCATGACGTCGACTGCAGAGGAGCACCTTTGATGATTTCTGAGGAAGTGCGTTCCAAGATCAGGTTTCCACCTGCGAGCGATAAGGTGGTGTGGTGTAAGTTGGAGGCTACATTATGTGAGGTACTTAAACATGATTTAAACAAGATGTCGTTAGGCGACAAGCTTACAAAATTTGGTGATGTTATATATGAACACTGCTCCCGCGAGTTCGGGACAGTGCAGAAGGCACAGCCGGGTGCCAAGCAGAATACTAGCAGGAGGCAGAGGGACATTCTGAAGTGTCGGGCAGACAAGAATGCCCTTAGAAAACGGTTCAAAGTCGCTTCAGGCAGCGAACGGGAGGGGCTGTACCAAGTTTGGTTGCATTTAAAGAACAAACACAGTGCCCTCTGTCGCGCTGAGCGTTTCTGTGCCAACAGACGGAGAACCAAAAGGGAGCGAGAGAAATTCTTTAGGGACCCGTATCAGTTTGCTCGAGGTCTATTCGAGCAACCGAAGTCTGGGACTCTGGTTGTCAGTCAGGAAGAACTTGAGTTACATCTACGCAAGATGTACTCGGACAAAAAGAGGAGAGAGCCTCTCGATG